AATAAAAAGGAGTCTTTTTATACTTAGTTTATTAAGCACACTATTGCATGGAAAATATTAAAGGTAAATTGAAAGTGCTTAATGTAGACAAATATCAACAGATAACAAAAATACATATGGTACTCTAATAAACTAGAATTTGCAAATACTGCTTCTTTGGCAGGACATGACAATTTTGGTGGTCATGTATTGCTTAATAAACCCTCTGTGTATTTTGTTTATTTGAACAGTCATTTGTATGTAACTCTGCAATACTATGTTCATTGTTTATAGAACTACTGAGGTACTTTTACAGGACTCAGATCTTTCAAAAAATAATGATAGGTTTTTCAAGTCTGTGACCAGAATGCTTTCCAGCTTTTCAGTGGCTTGCAAAAATGGGAATGCTCTCTATGAAGAACAAGCAAACAGGTTCTGGCAGTGGTCAGAGTTCTCTTCCCATTGTGGTATTATCAGCACTGCCAGGCAGAAAAGTATCTAGAAATTGGACTCGGTAGTGCAGGTTTGTATGTGCGTGTGCTCACAGGCCCCAATCCTGCAAGCGTTGTATTGCAGAAGGAGCTCTGAGCTCTCACAAAACAACACTGAAGTCAGTTGGTGTCTGTGCAGGGAAGCAGCAGCGAGCAACATGGCCGTGAAGCACCCGAGTGCACCGTGTGCCTTACCCTGCAGGGCGAGGCAGGGAAACCTGTGTGCTCCTGCTCGCACTTGGACTCCCAGCAGGTGTGGATATCTGTGCACGCTGCAAAGTCAGGGAGGACAAGAGCGGCATGCAGTTTGAGGGGCAAAAATGAAAGCTGGAAATACTTTGGCATTGTAAGTACCTGTTTGTTACATGCGCCAGTTTAATGCCTCGTGCATGATTAGATGCACATTGCTAAATCACTGCTTGACACTAAGGAGAATGGAAAAGATGAGCTAATGTAGGGTATTATTGTATTCTGTCATATATTTCTAAGCTTTGAGGTGATCAGTGCTGTGTTTTAAAATATAGACTGTATTCTCTGTCAGTCAGCATATTTCTGCCTTGGGTGTTTTAAATGAGAGATCTCTGTCTTACTGGGCTCTTTAATGATAGAAAAATCACTATTTCTAAGTCTTTCAAATACTCTGTCGTGCTGGTTGTTAACAAGTTGTGCAAAAGGGACAAGCCCAGCAGATGGGAAAGAGGTTATATTGTTAATATTCACCCTCATCAAAAAATTAATTGCTTAAATGAGACTTCTTCCAAAAGTTAAGTCATTTCTCAAAATGCAGTTAGTCTATTACCACACTGACACAAAATATATGTCAAAGAGTGAGTTTCTCCCCTAATTACTTGCATGTAAAATGTATCACTGACACTGGATTTACATATCCTTATGAAATATTACTTTTCTTTATGAAAATAAACATACAGATACAGTAAAGACTGCGTGCAGCAGAAATAATTACAGAATATAGAAATAATTACAAAAGCATAGAACAATCATGAAGCAGAATTGCATCTGCACAGAATACATGATATACTTGAATAATAAAATATTGTAAAATAAACAACATTAAATAGCATAAACAAAAGTATATTTAAAATACATACAATATGAATTGATTAATGTAGTAACTCAAGGAATTCAAATTCACTTATCTTCCAGTATGAGGAAACAGCATAAACAAAACATGCACTCAAAATGAGATGTATAGAATGTATAAGTTAGTAGCAGCTTTAAATGTGGGCCAAAGAACTGTCAAGGGTCTCCAAATGTTTCTTTCATAGAAGTACTTATGATTGCTAGTTTCTAATACTTTTAAAAATAAGCTACATAACTTGTTTTTATAGTGCCAGGAACTTTTCAAACAGAACCAATGCAAAAGCATTACTGAGCTGCTGGAAATTTTAAATAATTCTTTGTAAATGCCCTAGGTTAATTTAGATCTCTGAAAACACATTAGGAAATTAAGCCGTAATGTGAGCTAATTCAAATTTTAATTTGGCAAAAAGAACGATCCAGCCACATAGTTAATGTAAATAGAAGCATAACACAGAGAAATTAATGAGGTTTCCTTTCGTCGAATCTTAAAGGAGGCAGATAATTAGCTTCTTTTGTTATTACTGCAGGAGAATGTGATATTGTCTTGGAGGTGTAAAATAACTGCAGCTTGCAAAATGATGTGTTCATTTGTCTTTTTCTAATAATTATTTACATTAAACTCTTGTAGGATGAAGCAGCCCAACCACTGAATCTTTCAGCCCGACCCAAGACAGGTGAACCTGTCAAATCCCCGACATCTCCAACGCAGAACCTCTTTCCAGCCAGCAAAAACAGTCCAGTGACTGTGACGAGCAAGAGCGGCATCCCCAGCCCTCTCGGTGGAACCCTGGGAAGAGGATCCTCTCTAGGTAAATCCGCCATAGGGAGAGGAGGAGCTGATGCTCTTCCTGTGTGAAAATCTCAGCCTGAGAACACACACAGTCTCTACATTAAGTACATATTTGAACCTATATCTCTGTTTAAGATGAAAACAAAAATCACAGAACATTGTCAAATACCTCTTGTATTCCAAGGATTTACAAAAGTAACCAAAATGATGCTATAGTGATATTTATCTATAGGAAATACAGCAAATTAATGTATTAAAAATAATAATGTGTAAAAAATACATCCGTATACATATTCATAAATATATAATGCATCTAAATATGTATAGAAGGGTTTATGTATCTTCCTCAAGCATAACAATTGGGTACAGCATGCTAAGCTGTCTTTTCAGTTTTGGCCTGTGGATTAGGCAAGCAGAAAAATAGCTTTGCATGCAGAGGCCTATGAGGTAGTAAAAATACACTCGTGATGACCCAGGTGAATAATTCAGTCTAGTGGGACAGTGCACATAGTTCAAACCAAGCATGTTCTAACGCATTTTTTTTGAACCAGGGCAAGGGAAGATTCAGTTTTACTTAGAGTAAACCATATGTTAGGCAAGAATGTAACTCCAAATGTAGTTTTCAGCTATTTAGCCCAGATATACCATTAGTTTTATCCGTAATTGCGTTCTTAAAGAAACATAATTCTCAGTGTTCTGATTTTATTTTTTTAGCCAGGACCATATTCTAAACCATGGGGTTTTTTTTTTAATAAACACAAAAAGGCTTCTGTCCAGCTATTTCTTATTCTTTTATAATTGTTCATATATCTGACTTTTTTTTTTTTATGATTCCGATAGATGCAGATAGGGAATGTTTGCTTCATGCTTAAGACTGTTTATTTAAGGTATAAAACATACTAAACAATGAAACAAAATTGATCAGAAAATGATGTATGAAGACTACCTTAACCAGTCAAGAAAGAATCAAGAGCTCTAAAATTTAGATGATCACAGTCCTAAAGATCAAATAGTAAATTTTAACGGTTACTAAATACTTACTACAAGCCACTTATTCACAATCTGTAGCTCAAGTGTACTTGTTAATATATAGAAACACTTGTGAATAATGAACAGATATATTAAATACATACATTAAATATATAAAAATTATGATTTGTTCCATTCTCAAAACACTTGGGAACATCGTGATCGGTAAAAGTTTCTTCAGCTAAATAGATATTCCGCTTGTCAATTTATTTCTGGCTACCACTACAGTAGCTAACCTCAGAAAACAGCATATCAGTTTGAGCTGAAAGACCATTCTAGTGAGATAGACAAGGTAGGCCTAGGATGTGAATATTTTTAATGTAAAAATATAAAACTTTTCCTCTTGGTTCTAAAGCATAAAAGAAGCCTGGGGAAACATTGCCAAAAATCCACAAGAAACTTGGAAGATTCTGCTCCATTTTTTGGATAAATTGAGGTGATACGAAGTCTAAATCTCATTAAAAGTCAGAAAAACTTTGTTCGTGACTCACTCGGGTCCAAAAGGAAATTTAAGAAGCTAGTTCATGCCCAAGAAGAGCAATCTTTGCTCTCTAACATGAAGTTACTATGAGGAAAGCTTTGGTTCTGACAGATATCACAGACATCTATTCTCATCTAGCCTGCAATATTAAATCAGCTACCCTCAATCCTAACATTTTTGATTTTAAAAGAAGTTAGGGTCCTTTGAGGTTGAAATTTTCTATGTATTACCTAGCTGAACTCCACTGGAGTGAAAAGAATTGAAGCAAGTAGGAAATTATCTTCAAGAATTCCAGGTGTTAGCCTGTTTGCTATTTTTTTAGTAGAATGTTACTGAGTTCCCAAATCACACCAGAGTTGTTATAAAAGGCATTAGTTTATCATGCAGGATTGGTCAAAGTTCCTAGCCAGAAGGCATATCCATGATATATATAGATAGATAAAGATATATGGGATATATTTATATTCACAGCTAAATGTTCGTCACAACAACACAAAACTACCACTCACCAAATAAGTTTTCTTTCTCTTTTGTTCAGTTTTTTTCTCTTAAAATTTAAAGGCTGCCCACTTAAGCTTCAGACTTTTGTGTTATGTTAAACATATTTAACCATAAACTTGAGTCCACAGGTCTGATGCTACATTCCAGACTCTGTCAAGGCTTCAGTGGCTGTGTTTACAACGTAGCAAATCTGCACACAGGCTTATCAATCACCACTCTTCCCCCTCCTTCTGCAGAAGTTAGTCAGCTCTTACTCAATGAGAAGTAGATTTTGATTTGGATGGTTGCCTAAATAAAGCGTGTTCTCCTTTTATAGATATCCTTTCCAGTCTTAACTCACCTGCCCTATTTGGGGACCAGGACACAGTAATGAAAGCCATTCAGGAGGCTCGAAAAATGAGAGAGCAGATCCAAAGGGAGCAGCAGCAGCAGCAGCCGCATGGTGTTGATGGAAAATTGCCCTCCATGAATAACATGGGTCTAAACAACTGCAGGAATGAAAAGGTAATGTCTCCTCTTACTACACTGTCTGTCATTCATTCTTTTTATTTTCCAGCAAACAGCTTATTTTTATATAAAATTTCTTTTACAGCTTTTAGCTTTCTCTGATTTTACATTAAATACAGCTTGTCACTTCAGAGTGCTGTGCTGCAAACTCCTCTGCCTTTACATGACAGGATTCAAAAGACCAGTCCTGTGCAGTGCGTATGGTTAAACATGCATGTGACAATGTGGAAAAATGATTGGGTGAAGCTAATATAGTTTGTGGTCATTAAATTTTGAACTGTGCTTTTGAGGATGATTGAACTGACAAATACGATAGAAACATTTTGTGTACTAGTGTGATTGAGTAGTAGAATATCACTGAACATATGAGTGTACTTGATTTTGTGACTCAGGTTCAACAAGATACTTAGGCTCAAATCTGTGCTTTTGGTTTTTGGCTTTAATAAGAGTTTTTTGTTGTTGTTG